TCACCCTCCAGCTTAATTCTGACAAGCTTAATATGTAGACTATAGATAAATTCCGGCAAGCCCTTTAAAACAAAAATCTAAAGAACAACATTTATAAATTAATTACTTGAAAATAAATATCATTTTTATTTTAGAAATAATGAACACTTAAGTTATTTGTTTCAAAATAAAAGCGAGTTAACACATAAATTTCAAAGTACTTACTGTGAAGGTTGCAATAAAGGTTGATGTCCATCTTTAAAAAAAAATAATAAAAAAGGAACCAACTCGTATAATTGTTAAAAGTCAATTCGTGAAACACGACAAATATCATCATCACTTACTATTAGTGCTGTAGAACTTTTGGAAATCGAATAATATTTAGAAGAACCGGAAGAAGAGGTCTGGCACGAAAAAAATAAGGACGTTTCGTATTGACAGAGTTCTTCTAGAATTGGCTTAGGATTCTGCATCTTGTTATTGTCATAAACTGTAGCTACAGAAGATATAAATTCGTTACTAATACCATAAGACAGGATTTCTGACATCTGGCTTGGGCACATAGTATGGTATGATGTTGTGGCAGACGAGAATTCATTTTATGATCGCACGAGTTTTAAACAGCTTTTGGTACTTTGGTAATTGGATTGGACAGACCTTCTATGAATTGCGTGTGGCCTTGATTCAAGAATATACTGATGACCTGATTTTTGGAAGCTAATGACGTTTTATATTTATAATATCAAACGAGGACTCCCGAGCAATTTTAGAAAAATTAAAATAATAGAATTTTTAATTTTAAAGTTACTTTCTCTACTAACGTTAATATTTTATTATTACTATCTATATTAATATAAAGAAGGAATTAGAAAACCGTCTGTTGGACCATCCCCATTTTATCATTTGTACCACAAATTAATGTGTAATATAATTATTAAACGTTTACATCACCTTTCTGAACTTGCACCTCAGTAAAAAAAAACTTTAGCTATGATCCTATACTAATAATACATTTATAAAGTTAAAAAGAGTATCAAAATGAGATAATGATTCGATTCAATGGCTGCTACCAGCGTTGCAAGCCGGATGGATAACTGTAAGTCGCGGCTAGTCGGTTGGATTTTTTCCTGCCGCGATTTCAGTCGCGACTATATTTCAGCTGCGACTATATTTCAGCTGCGACTATATTTTAGCCGCGACTAGATTCAACTGCGACTAGATTTTATTTAGCCGCGACTAAACACACTTTCAAAAATTACCGGGATAAAATGTAGATCACTTAATATTAAGTCGCCGAACCTTTCATTAAAATACTCAAAAACTAGCACAAAACATTTCCTTTCATCTTAATAAAAAATTGTTTAGAATGTTCTAAAATGCAATTCATTATTAATTTTCACTATTTGTTTAAAACTTAGTTTTTGAGTAATTTTCCAAACGACTAAAACATTAAAAATTCACATAT